CGTAGTCAATAAGAAGAATCTGTGAAGACGAGGCCATTGGCTACATGAGTATGTTCACCTGGAGGAACCAGAAAAACAAAAGTTGCAGTTAGCAAGGTTTGTATTCTCCATGGGAACAAGCATAGGCTGGGATATGTGGCTTGGGCACCAGCTTCTCCCCTAGAAGCCCCATGAGGTTTGAGCTGGACCAACAGCAAGAAAACAGAAGCAGTGACTGAGGACTCTTTCTAACCACAGGTAGACTTGAAGTCACTTCCCTGAGAGTTAGCATGATTCCAAACTCCAAAATCAAATCCCCTGGCATGTGCAAGCATTTAACTAGTATCTTGTTGTTTCTGGACAAATTCCAGAATTTGTAACATACCGAGTGAACTCTGGGTTTAAGAGTAACTTCACTTCTTTCTATCTGCCTGCAAACGCATCTCAATAATTGCTGCCCCAATATTTAGCAAAATGTAGAGATTTCTAAATTACTTCCTCACTTGCACTATTTTTTTCTAAGTACTGCCTTGTTGACTGCCTGTTATTGAGTCTTGTAAAAAGTTAAAGATATTTCCTTCTCTTCTAAATAATATTTATCTATAGTTATATATTTGCAAGGTTCTCTGAGAATTTAATTTAATAGCTGAAGCTATTTCAATGTGTGACTTAGTATTAAGATGAAGAATCCTCAGAAATCTTAATATATATTATATAGAGACATCTGTGTATTATAAACAGTGATTTATTAAATATAGTCTCTTAATTCTTTAGTTGTCTTCCCAGAAAATCAAGAATTACCACTTTGCTAGGTTGTATTATTTTTTTTCTTCCTCTGACATTATTGTTTTGCTTTTCAATGGACTAGAGAACACATTAATAGCGTGGAAATTTAGCAATAAGAGCCTGAATTAAATTTGTATAGAGGAACAAAGATAGAAAATTGAATCAAATATTTAACCCCTCTACACAATGTAAAATCTTCCTTACATGGTGCGGCAGGGTCACAGTATCAGTTCATGGCTGTCTCTACAATGAATCCTACCAGATTGTTATACATTATCATCCGCCTTCTTTACAGAATAGAATCTCCTATGACAGGTTCATCATCTCAACAAACTACCCATTTCAAAGCCAATCATTTCTTTCACTTGTTCACAGTGCATAGAATTTTATCCTACCTGTTTCCTGGTTTTGCTTACTGCACACACATCCCTGCTTCCTAGTTTATTTTTCTTCTAAATGTCTGGCCAAAATTAAGCAAAAACTTAGATGCACTCATGCTGTGCAGGCTTCACTCTCTTGCCTGTCACTGGCGGCTTCCAATGGCAAACAGGAAAAACCCAAAGTCAAACCACTTAGGTAAATGGAAACAAATGTCCAGGGAGCGGATATTTTTAACACAGTAGCAAAAGGCTCAGTTGTGCACTGACAACAGAAATGAAGATGGAGATCTGTGGCCACATACTGCCTGTATGTATCTAGGGCTATGACATTGTGCAACCCGTTTCTGTATCTTTACATGTGCTAGTGTGTGGATACAATGAGAAAGCCTGTAGTTTAGTGTTTACTGGAGGCCTTCTGCTTGGGTAGATGCCAGGACAACTTTCAAAATATTTCAAAACAGCTGCCAGCATGTAAAGATGTTACTGACAGAACAGAGTAACAAATCTGAATCACTAATGAGAAGATAAACTTATATTTTGCTTAAGGTCCTTTGTGAACACGGAGATAAGCACATCCAATAAGGGCTTTTGTTTCTTGTGCAGGCAAGCCCACCTTCCCAAATAATATATGTAAGGATGAAATGCAGAAACAGACTTTAACAAGCATCCCAAGGTAAGCTTTTGCACAAATCACCTCTGAGTACTTTTGTGCCTTTCTGTGTTAGCGAACAGTTTCTGGATATCAGGAGTCATAGTTCTAAATATGAGTCATCGAAGCCTTGGCGATTTGAAGCTGAATGTGCTCACTTAACTCCTCTAGCATTTGATTGACGAGGCCTCGGAGTGAGCAGTTCTAAACACCAGACAACCGATGTTACATGCCCTTCATTTGGGATAGTTTGGATGCCATGGACTTCTATAAAAAAGAGAAAAAAAAATGCCCTCAGAAAGGAAAGGAAACTGGGGTTACACATGCGCAGACTGACTCTTCTGCAAGACAGCCAGTGCCTTGCAAGACACCACTAGCCACATCTTGTCATGGACTTGGAGTTGAAACAATGGAAGAAGTGATAGTTGCTGTCCCCAAATATATAACTCATTATTGATTGTGCAGAAAGATGGCAAAAGAAAAACTAAGTTTTAAAACAAGTCTATTTGTTTATTTATATATTTATTTGCCAAGAAGGGTGTGTCCCTCCCGTTTTTCTTGGCACATGGGGACTGCTTCAGCATCAGGTGGACACATTTAAAAACATTGCATGACACTATTGGTGCCCCCCACCCATCCCCAGGTCTGAGCCACTCACTGGAAGCCTCCCTCACCTGGTTTGCTTAGCTACAGGTGGCTGTGGCAACACCAAGGTCTCAGTGGACCAACTATGCAGACAGGTGCTCTTTTAGAGAAAGCCACTGCCAGCTGGGGAACTCGGTATTTAACCTCATTCCTTAGTCATTCACTGGATGTCCTTTGGTGAGAGCGCTGCTGGCTTTAACCCAGGCAGCCATGCCCTAAAAACACCCGTGGCCTCTACAGAATGGGCTGGAAGGCTTTGTCAGCACCTGCTCAGAGGCACTGACTAGTAACTGAGATCCTTTCAGAGGAAGACAAGCTAAGAAGGTGTGTGCCTGGGGTAGAGTGTGGGTGGAGGGCCCACTGTGAAGGTCCTTAAGAGGCAGCTTTCCACAGACCCCCCCCCCCCACACACACACACAACTCCACTGCGCCCTCAGCCCGGGTTTCAGCGGTTGGGTAGTGCCTGTGGTTGCTAGTCCTTCTAGAAAATGATCCGGAAGCGGGAAGTCAGGACCTTGCTTCAATCTTTCAACTAACTCATGGGTTCCCTCGTAGAAGCCACGGGTGCTCATTATGATTCTTTTTACGTGCAACATGTGGGGGACGAAGCAGTTTCATATCTCCTGGTATTATCTGCCGTCCAAAGCATTTTCTTTGAGAGGAAAATGGAAACGCAGCTGCGCCGTGGGCTCGGCCAGCGAGAGCCAAGACTCCCCCCTCCTTCTCCCTGTGACTGCTGGGCTCAGAGGCTCCTCCCGAAAGCCACTTGGGTTGGGGACGCCCAGGGTTGCCCTGGCAGGAGCGGAATGGGGCCTGGGCGAAGACTCGCCTTTGTCCAGCTCCTCGGGTTTCCAGAACGGTCAGGGTAGGAGGGAAAGCATGGGTCTGCTGCAAGGCGGACATTTAGTTCCTGGACCGCGGGGTTGCTCTGCTGGGAAGCCTATGTCACACTCTACCTTGGCAACTTCAGGCCAATGGGACCTGCCTCGCTGGCTCCAGAGGCCGCCCGCTGCGTCCCAAGCTCAAAGGGTTAAGCAGGTGCCTGGCCGGGAGAAGCACCATTGGCCCTGGGTCAGGGCGGCGCGGCCGGCCGTCACAGTTACTTGGGTTTGTGTGGAGGGTGAGGCTATTGCTAGTCCCCAGTTGCGGGATAGGAAGGCGAGTACCAGCAGCAGGGGAAACAACCAGCATCACCACCATCGTCACCACCACCTCCAGCACCACCACAGGCAGCAGGAGCAGCCATCGCCACTCCGCTGCAGCAGCGAAGCTGGGCAAGGGGTTTGAGTGCGGGACACTAGCGGAGCCAGAGCCCAGCCTCTCTCAAGGGCTGCGCCCGCCTGCATCCTGCATCTCACCACTTGGCTCCTGCTTACCAGCCAGAAGATGGGAAAGAAAGTGGGCAACCCGGGTCCTGGGTAGGGGTGGGAGAAACCATCAACTCCCACGCCCCCCACCACTCCACCCCAGCTCAGTGAAACCCCAGCAAGTCTCACTAAAAAGATGCACCAAACCACATGGATCCCTCCTCACCCCCCACAATGAAAGGCGGATGTAACAATGTGAAGTAACTGGAAGGCGCGAGGAAATAAATGCACGTGTTTTCGCTTTTTGTTTCCTTGGTGGTTGGAATTCGCAGAGTTCGTTTCAGTTGTGGCTACTAATTTATTCGTTTCCTTGGTCAAAGGGGGCGTGAAGAGGTGGATCTCTAGTGCAAACTCGGATCTAGCTGGAGCGACAGACCCCTCCTCACAAGTTTCCCAGGACCAACTCTTCCGGAGCGGGAAGAGCCCTTTCTTGTAAGCGGTCCAAACTCTCCATTGTACAAAAGCGCCCCCCCCCCATTCCCTCCGCCTTTACACGCCACCTCTCCTAGATAAGTATCAAGTTCTCCAGGAGCCCAACTTGCGCTTGGCCACACTTGCACTGCTTAGTATGGAGAATAGGGTCTAAGAGGGGGTACGGGTAGAATCGGGAGGCTCTGCGCCCCATTCCTACACCCGCGGGCTGGGATCCCGGTTTCTGGCAGCCGCGGAAGGCTGGAGCCTGCCCAGATGGTGGTTATTTCTCGAGAGAAAGGAGGAGAGAGAGCGCACCACAGTCTTGCACTTTGGGTCGGAAGTGCGCTCTGTGTGTGTGTGTGTGTGTGTGTGTGTGTGTGTGTGTGCAGAAGAGGGAGGGAAAAAATGCACCCTCCACTGCCCGTTATTCCCTTGCACCGGCCAAGTCCTCGCCAAGCCTCCCGGCGCATCCTTCCTCCTCCACCCCCTCCCCTTCTTCCCTCAGCTGGGCTCGCGCGGCGCTGCTGGAGCAGCCAGTGAGAGCAACATCCTGGAAAGAGGGGGGAGCAACTGTGCCCCCCAAAAGGGAGAAAAGGCCCCACCCTGACACGTTTTGCTGTTTGCAAGTCCCTCGCACACCCCCCGCACCTCCTCCTCGCCCCCCTCCACCTCAGCCCGCTGCGCGCACATCAAAGCGCCTCTCCGCCGCGCACAGTGGCCGCGGCTCACTAATGGGATTGCAGGCTGGTGCTTGGCTCCGCTGCTGCCGCCGCCGCCGCTCACGCCGCTGCTGCCGCCGCCGCCCGAACCCGAGCCCGAGTCCCGGCCAGCCTGAGCCCAGAACACCCGCGCCTGGGACTCCAAGCCGCGGCGATGATCCGAATCTTTCCGGATTTCAGCGTGCAGGTGACGGCCGCGGCGGCCGGCGGGGCAGCCGCTGGGGTACCGGCCGGTGCGGGCATGGGGAGGGCCGGCGCCGCGGCCAATGGCACCCCGCAGAACGTCCAGGGCATCACCTCCTACCAGCAGCGGTGAGTAGTCCCGTCCGAGCTGGGATAGTGCCCCCGCCCCGGGCCCTGGGGTGGGACTCACTTTGCTCTTGTTTTGTGCCTGAGAACACACATGCATACCGTTAGGGCTCACTTTGCCTGCCCCTGTGCTGCAGAAGATGGAAAGGGGAATTACACAATCCGAACTGAAAAGCACTCTAGTGCACTGGCGAAGTGAAGTCATCCTTTGCCCTCTGCCAGGCCCTGAACATAGAGCCTCAGCCCCAGCCACGAGTAGCCCGAGAGTTCCAGTCAAGTCTGAGATGCCGCACTGAATGCTTTGGCAAAGTTTGGGCTTCCTCTCCCCTTCCAGCAAAATGTTCTCAGTGTCTCTGCCGGTGCGAATCCGCGCTGACGGACAGCAAGGGAAGCAATTGATCATCGGAGGCTGATTGATCATTTGTTTCCAAATAGGATAGAAACGATTTTCATGTGCAGCGATAGACTTGCAATTCTACCTAAAAGTGTGATCATGTCACCTGTTACTATAGGGAAATACAAGATGAAATTCTAATCTCTGAGGCGCTGCTATGTATTCATCTTAAACGCATTATAATGCAAATGGATGAGATTCTGAGATACAAGTTAAGAAGCAAATTTTACAAAAGTTAGCCTCCGTGATGAGAAAAAAGTTTTAAGATAGAATTTGCTTGCATTTTTTCTAAAGACATTCTCTACATCCAAAAAATAATTATCATTGAAACACTGAACACTATTTGATTCAGTTAGGAAATAAAGAAAAATTAATTTACCCCTAACAGCTCTTTAATCCTAAAGTTTTTTTCCTTAAGGATGACTTTCAGTGTGCCAAGATTTTAATGGAAATGTGAACTACAAAAACGCTATGAGAAAAACCAACAATGTAATCAAAAAGGTAAACTCTCCATTCATGGGGCTCACTTTTATGGTAGATGGAAGGGAAAAAACCAGAGCACACGAGAGTGTGAAATTAAATATTTGTGTTTCCCAGATTGTACACGATTAAACATCTGAGAGATGGCATTTAACTTAAAATATACACAATGAATAATTCAAATTCCCACTTTACCTCATATTTGAAACTTCATTGATTTGAGAACCCCTGGTTTGAAACAACTGTATTTAAACTGCAAAGGTTACGGTAATCTGTCATTGCTATATTTTGTGCCTTCTAACCAATGGCCCAGTGGCCAGATCTTGCCTAACACAGTATATTCCAAGTTCATGTAATTGCAAATATTTTGTAGGAGACTTCATTACATGCTCTGCTTATTGTTAAAAGTTTTTTTAAGAAGTCATTGAAAATAACTCAAAGGGGGCTAATCTTTGTCAAAGAGATTTTTTTTTCTTAAATTATTTTAGATTTGTTTTACTCCAGCGATTACAAGAGCCTTTAATAAAAATAGATCTGGGCATCTTTACGTAGAATACCAGTAAAGAACCCAATTTTTCCTTTTCATGGTTCATGTATGTTTTTGCCATTTATAAAACATTTAAATGACAATAGAATCTGGCGGTCACTTTAACTAGGAAGTGTAGGCAATAGTGACAATAGTGTGGTTTGTGAAGAGGAGATTCAAGGGTCAGAAATGTCACATGGCCTTTGGACAATTCCAGGGACCTCCAGGAATAGGAGCTGACCTATAAGATGTAATTTGGGCATAAGGGGCTATCGTGGATCTTTGGCGTTTAAGCTCTTTCTTTCCCCTTAGCATTGGCATTGTCCTTTATACAAAAATATGATCTTGGGGTTCATCTTCCTTCAAATCAGGTGCACTTAGGGGCAGCCCTTCAAGTGCCTGCCTTAACACTTCCCTTTAATACTTCCTTCAGGGACTCAGGCCACTTGTTAAACCTCAACCCCACTGCTCTTCTCAAGACAGGGGCTTTACGAAAGATTTCTGAACTTTCTCCCTTGGAGTGCATTAGTGCCTGCGGTGTAGATGTTCTCTTGTACCGACAGGAGGGAAGGTGGTAGTAGTGGTGGTGAGGTTTCCTTTGGCTTTGTTACTCACATCCCATGACACCTGTTACTGTCTTTGATTGTAGTTAATTTGGGGGCAGAAGAGTTTGGCAAGAGGATAACTGGCAGGCGTTGGAGGTAAGGCTTAAGCCAGGAATCTCCTTTCACAGCCCAGGGGCACAGGCTTCAGGGCTCTGAGGGCTAGACTTGATCTCCACCTGGAGACCTGGACATTTTTATGCTAAAGTGAATTGTGACACATCATTAAAAACTGTAATCAGTTTTTGAGAAATCAGGTGGGGATGGTGGCAGGACTGGGATTTCAGGTAGTGGCCTGCCTGTTGAGAGACCTCAGACTTCTCTCACTAGTCAGCTCTGGGGAGGACTGCCCTAGACTGGCTCTCCTGGAACCCAAACTTCCAACTGGATAACTCTCCCTCTTCCTAGCTAGCCCCCATTTGTCTTGGAGGTAACACACAACATTGATCCAATTCATTTCCCAACTAGATCTATTTCTCCTACCTGTAGCGTGTACTAACCTACTCTAAAGAGTACCCAACCTCATGAAGATGCCACACCATACACTTGTGTAATCAGTGGAGGATCTGAATCCCTTCCCCACTTTTCCACAGAAGGGGACACCTAATGAGCACTCCCCATCCCACCCCCACCCCAACTTTAAATCTTCACTTAAGAATCACGTTTTTTCATCAGACACTGTCACTTTTTCAATGTGGAGCTGTCTTGGGGGTCTTTCTTGCCTGCATAATGCAGGACTGGTCCGAGTCTCAAAAAAGAGCTGCTCTCTTTCTGCAGGGAGGCACAGAGGACAAATGCTTTGCCCAGGGTGTCTCCAGGTAATAGGAGTCCAGTGCGCTCTGCACTGAGTGGCCATTTCTCTGGGCCTCGCTGGGCAGTTTAAAGGGGAGGTGACTGGGCTGGATTTCAGAGGCCAGAACTCCAGCCCTAGGTACCAGGACCTGGCTCTGCAATGGCATTTGTGTGTAACTGCATCTGAAGGCATGGGGACTGGCCTGTGAGCCCTGGGGACAGCATATCTGTCGGCGGCAAGTGGAAAAATGCAGATGTTCCAGCTCGGGCTCCTGGCTGAGGGCGCCAGAGTCACAAGGTGCGGGTCCTTCATCCTTGCTCAGAAGCACAGGAATGTTGGGCCTGCTGGCCTGGACCAGCTCAAGACATGTCACCTCACAAGCTTTTATTTCCACTGTCCTCCCCACCCCAAGTAGTTCAACCCACTCTCTTGGCATTCTGATCCCCGCTCTCTTTTTTGCAGGCTGAAATACTCTAGAGAAGGGAAGTGTTTGAAACTGCAACTGAGTGGCGTTGTTGCGCCAGCAGCCAAGCTTCCCAGTCCCCAAATGAGAGAGAGGGAGGGAGAGAGAGAGAGGGACGCACGGAGGGAGGGAGGAAAGAAAGGAGGGGGGAAGAGGGGGGAAGGAGGGAGAGGGAGGAGTGTGACAGAGAGAACAGAGACAGAGAGACGTCCAGAGACACAGAGTGAGGGAGAAAGGGAGGGAAAGAGGGAGAGAGAGGGAAGAGAGAAAGGGAGGGAAGGAGGGAGGGAGGGAGGGAGGGAGAGAGAGAGAGAGAGAGAGAGAGAGAGAGAGAAGGGGGAGGGGAAGGGGGTGTGTATCTGCTTGCAAGCGGAGAGAGAGCTCTGGAGCAAAGCAGCTGGAAAATGCCCAGAAATACTTTCCCAGTGGTCAAGCTGGGAACCCCCTGCGTGTCTTCCCTCTCCAGGTCCCTCCACTCTTAGGCCCCGCCACCCCCTACCCCTCACCCCGCCTGCCAGGAGGTTGTGCTCCCCACCTGCCCGTGGGCCGACCCGGGTGACTGCGGCCAGGGCGCTTGCGGCCGCGCGCCGGCCCGATCACCCGGAGGCCCTGGCCGGGTTGCCCGCGGGACCGCGCGGCCGCCTCCCCCGCCGCCCGCCCCTCCTCCGCCGCCGCCCGCGCCGGCCGACTGTCTCCGCGCCGGGCATGTCTCGGGAGCCGGGGCGGCCCGGGCCGCGGGCGCTGTGCAGCGCATGGACGGCGGCGGCAGCGGCGGGCTAGCAAGGGGAGGACCAGGCTCGGGCGGCCGAGGAGGCGGCGACCTGCGGCGGGGAGCGGTACGGGCGCGAGGGGACGTCCGGCCGCCGGCGACGCTCGGGCCCCACTACTTTCCCGTAGCCTCCCAGGCTCAGCAGCGCGGTCACCGCCGCCGCCACCACGGCCACGGCCACGGCCGCCGCCCGCCGGGCCCCCCGAGCGCCGCGCACGCCCGCACTCTCTCCCGCCAGCCCACGCACACGCACACCCCCGCCCTCCCCACGCCCCCCGCCCCGGGAGGGGGGGAGCAAGGCAAAAAGTAAGAGAGGAAAAAAAAATTGCAGGAAGATGGCGCCCACCAAGCCCAGCTTTCAGCAGGATCCTTCCAGGCGAGAACGGTAACACTTTTCTGTTTATTGAACCTGCCGCTCGCACCCTGCTCCCGCCGCCGGCGGGGTGGCGAGCTCGCTCCCTCCGCAGCCCGCCTTGGGGCCCGGCCCGCGGTCCCGGGGGCGGGGGGCTGCGCTGCCGGGTCCCCGCGCATTGTCCGCCCGCGGCGGCTGCGGCAGCGAGCGGGCTCTGGCGGCGGCGGGCGGCGAGTAGTCGCACCTCCTGAGCTCGGCGAATGGAGTGACTCGCTGATGGAAAAAAAAAGGAGGAACAAAAAAGCAAAAGAGAGAGAGAAAGAGAAAAAAAGATTAAAAAAAAAAAAGACAAACCCAAAAGAGAAGGCACTGTGTGCCGGGAGCCGCGGGAGGGAGGGTGGGGGCCGGGGTTGCCCGGCCGCCGCAGGTCCCGCGGCAGCTGCTCTCTAGGAAGGGAATGAGCTGGGGAGGGGGAGGGGAGGGGGAGGAGGCCGGGGCGGGAGCGGAGCGCAGGGCTCGAGGGGCCGTCTCCGAGAGCTGCTAGGCCGGGCGGGCTCAGCCAGGCGCGCCGCCTCCCGCTGCCGCTGCCCTGGGCCGGGCAACTTGTGGGTCCCCGACTCTGCC